AGAAGTTCTTAGACGACTTCGATTCTATGCATCTGAGCAAGCAGAATAACCCGTACTTAAGTCTGGGCATCGTCAAGACCGCTGCCAAGCTCGCTGAGAACGTGTCAGAACAGCAGGTACTTACATCAGAGTTAGAGAACTTAATGTAAAGCCCAGTACGGCTAGCACGAACAACTTTCGAGTTCAAATCGTTTGCGTACTCAAATCGCCATCAAAAGATTTAGTAAGAAAACTACAACAGCGCCCTTGGGAACGCGTCGTAAAGTGAACTTAGTATGAGATGTGGTTGCACAAAAGTTATTTTGAGAATCAAAATTGTCACGTTATCGTTTAATTCGAAGTTTGAGAATCGAATTTTATCGAATAGGTACGCAAACGATTCGAAGACGAAAGTTGTTCATGCTAGAAGTACAGAACACACCAGTTTGAAACCGGTTTGAAATGGTCGCGTCATGTGTGGTCTCTCAAGGGAATCTAACTTAGATGCAACTCAAAAGTAACTAGAAGTTGCAGTTTCGTTGCATTTGCGTTTCACCGTATGTTCTGGGCCTAAGGCTTACATATTTATTTACACACGGCTTCAAATAAATCGCACCTCCCGCAACAAGGACTTCTCAAACGTATGCATTCCCACTTCCCACCAACATTGGTTGCATTTTATGCCGAGAGGTCCCGGGTTCGATTCCCGGCCGGGCAGAAATTGAAATGATGAATTTTAATTTCTGTGACGGGTCTGGGTGTGACTATGTATAATATTTATGTATTTAAAAAATATATATGTTACGGCTAAAGATAGGTGTGAACATAAACTTAAGATTAGCCGGCTAAACTTAAGTTTATCTTTGATGAGGTGTTAATGTTAGTTTCTTCTATCTTTAGCCGGCTAAACTTAAGTGTAACCGCAGGCCCTTGGCTAAAAATGTAGAAGGAAATTAAAAAGGAAACAATGTAATAATGTTTACTATTTTGACACGAAAACTTTAATAAAAATAATCACTTTGATTACACATGTACTTTTATGTACCTATGTAGGTATTCAAAATTACAATTATTACAATAACAAATTATTAATTACTTAAAACAATATCTACCTAATCATTAAAATAAAATAATAAGGAACCATTTGGTCATTACAGAATCTTCTGTAGGTATTTAAAATTACAAAATAAAACTGCGCGTTGTCTCCCCACCGCCCCCTCAAGCCTTCCACCGGCCTGGCGCGCCCATCGAACACATTTTTAGCCGTTTCGTTTTGGCTAATGTGCACATTAGCCGGCTAAAGATGGAATATCACGACGCAAACTAACATGTTATCGAACTTTAGCTGCTTCTCGAAGATAAACTTAAGTTTAGCCGGCTAATCTTAAGTTTATGTTCACAACTATCTTTAGCCGTAACATATATATAAGTAGTATATCCGTTAAGCTAGCACCCATAACACAAGCATTAAGTTGCTTACTTTGGGGCTAGCTGGCGCTGTGTGAAATTGTCCAAAGATTTATTTATTTATTTATTATTTATTTGAAAACCCTAGTTTTAACTTCATTACATTAAAGGAAAGGTGAATGTGTTTTTAGAAGGATCCAGAGTCACTTCTTCAAAAAATAGGTACATTGTAGTTGTTGCGCTTGAGCCAAATTAATCGCTATCCATCTGTTAAAAAGGACACGTAAGATTTTATTTGGTTTTATAACCACAAAAAATGGTCTAATTGATCCCAGAGGTGAGCCCCAAGTGAGGCCTTTTTTCATGTCACATTTATGGTATAGTTCCAAAATACTGAACTGTCCTATCAATGACATTGACAGCGGGGCGCCACCGTCAATACCGAATCGCTGGTTCCGATTTTTGCCATGTTGGAAACAATATAGTTGAACGATGGTAGCGCCCCCCTGTCATTGAGTTTGGTGGGACAGTTCAGCGTGGATCATCTATACCTGTTAAAATTGTTTATAAAAAAAAATTATGTGTTTTTCTTTAAGTTTATTGTTGGGCTTTCAAATAACACCAATATTGTTGGGGCACCATGATTGTGTCAGAAGAAAATCTTTAAAGTTCGCGTGGCGGAAGGAGCGATTTTGATGTTGAGTACTCAACTCATACAAATCGTCTGGGTTAAGTCATGCATTGCATTGTGTCTGTCAGGAAGTTCATAGAATCCTTCGTTTCACTTATAATCTAAAATGACCTGATTTAAAGCAAAGCATTCATTCCCTTGATTAACTAGTGCATCTTTTAAATGTAGGTACATTTGTTAATCACACACATTCACATTCGAAATATATGAAAGGTACAACAAAATGTAGATAAAAATTAAGAGGACCAAATATAGAGCCTTGGGGCACACCCATACGCGTTGTGGTTTGGTACCTATATAGGCTTCTAAGTCATAATTATAGCTTTTTAAAACCAAGTTTTCTAATGGAATACCTACCTACCTACGAGTAGGTACTAAAACGAGTCATTGTCATTGAACATAATTTGGCATAGTATCTTCAGAGTAAATACAAATGGGTCATCTTCATAGAAACGCACCGAGCGCGGTTTGCATGTGAGCGCGCCAATACGTATGCGGCGCGCACGCACACACTGACAAAATTCTATGAAGATGACCTACTCATTTGTATTTACTCAGAGCCCCGATTACGGTAATTTTTAACGTCAACAATCCAGACACGCTTCTCGATTCTGCGATACGATTGGTCGTTCAACAGCGCACGTCAGCTGTTTTGACCAATCGTATTGCAGAATCAGAAACGCGTCTGGATTGTAGACGTTAAAAGTTACCGTAATCGGGGCTCTGGTATCTTCATCTAGAAATTGACAGCGTTGTGGTCGCACAACAGTCGAAACTGTCCAAATAATCAGTGCTATCTCTCAACGTATTTTTTTAATTGCAGCAATCCTTCATAGCCGCGTACTCGTCAGTCAACGGCGAGTACAAGCGGTTACGAACGGTGGCCGCGGCTGATGGGGAAAAGACGTGGGACATCGTGCGGAACACGGCGCTTAAGGAGCTGAAGGAGAAGGTGAGGTTTCATCATCTTTATCATCATCTTCAACTTTCACCTCATCTTCATCTACTTGTACAGTCAGGGAATGAAAAGGTTCGTCAGATTTCAAATTGATTCCTTCAAAGAATCGCGAGCACATATTACCTTTTGAAACTATGTTACAGAATAATCTTGAGTTAGAGAAAATAATCTTTAACTGTTCGTCAGTAAAGTTCAAAATTATTCAGATCAAAGTTGTTTGACGATTTATCTTGTCAAGAAGATTATTATGATTGATAAACTAAAACCTTCTTGTTGGTTCAAACTGCCATTATTATTTCTATTAAATAAAAAAAACTATTGTCAATTGGTCAATGTCATCATTGCATTGCACTGATGGGATAGAAAAATAAACAAGCAAAACCTTAATCGTTAGCAAACGTCATATTTATTTCAATGTTAGCAGCACTGTTTCTTGCACTGTTATGTTGGCAGGTTTGACTCTTACAGAACCTAGTGCAAGCGAAAACCGACACTAAGGTGACGAACCTTTTCATTCCGCGACTGTACATTGTCATCTGCATCATCATCGTAATCTTCAGGGGCCATCCATAAAGTACGTTACACGAATTTCATGATTTTTAAGCCCCCCCCCCCCGTTCTCGTCACAGGTGGTCACATTTCTGAACCCCCCCTAGTGTGACGTCACATGTTTTGCAATTTCACATCGAACAATTATTAAATTAAAACAGCAGTTCCGAAATTAGTTTTTTTTCCATTCCAAAACATTGTTATGTGATGTCACGAAACTAAGGACCCTTCCCACCCCTTGTCACACCATCACACCATGTAACACTTTGTCGACCCAATCCTTAACGTGTGATGTACTTTATGGATGACCCCTCATCAGCATAACCATGTTCATGAACAGAGTACAGTCCACAGCTGGTTGAGGGCTGCCCTAAATACGCTACATTTGACTTGTTGTCGCATCCAACTTCTACCAGTGACTTTTCGCAAGTTGTCTAATTTGCTAATCGCTATCCCAGTCGTGGACTCACTCAAGAACCGAGAAGACTTCCCTTCTTAGCAGAATGCCGTCCACTGCCAGACGAAGGCCGTCCAATACTTTTAATGAATGGAAAGAAACTGGACTCTTCCCTTACTCCCACAGCTGCAACTCCTTTATTATTAGGATCTGCTGTTTGACTGCCAATACAAATCAACCAGAGAACCCAACCCCAAGTCCCCATAGAAAGATAGTAAAATACTTTTTTTGTAATAAGTATGTGTTATTATTTGTTACAGCATGCAGAAGCGAAACTCTTCAACGACAAAGATGAACCCACAAAAGAACATTTAGAGATGATGATATGGGCATACTCCCCCGAGGCAGCTAAAGTCAAGAAGTACGTGCCAGAGACTAAAGAAGACAAAAAAGAAGACACAGAGAATATAACAGAAGATAGGAAGAGACGAAGCAGCGCGAGAAATGACGACGATTCGGCTAGCAAGAAAAAGAAGGAATAAGTCTGTAATAGGCATTTACTGTTTTGAATTTATTAAATGTAATTATTTTGGGAGTTGGCTGATTATTTATTTAGTTAAACCTCAGAACCGCCAGCAGTAGAGAAAGTTTCAATTGAATTTACGCGCTTTAAAACTAGGCAAGCCTTTAGTGATCTATTAAACTTATTTATGAGAGAACCTTTTTACCTAATTTTTGAAATTTTCAAATTCAAATTTTTTATTGCATAATATCATATCAAGATTTTTATTTAAACTTCAAATAAATTATTTTAAAAATTATGATAGAAAAAAATAACTGCTTATGAAATGAATTCCTTTGCTATATTCTGAACAAAGAAAAATATAAAAGAGGTACTTTTTAATAGCAACTTTGGCGGTAACATTTGAAGTTTTGAAGTCGTCATTTGATCAAACAATTAATTATGATACTTAAAAATTTTACAAACAAGCTATGAAGTCTATTTGAATACGCAAAAGTAGTAAAAAGGACTTTCCAATAGAAATAAATCCTGAATCTATTTGTGCAATTAAGCGATGTGAAACAGTACATATGAAAAGACCTAATCCATTCGAGCCATTGATTTGACATAACTTTGTAAACACTGGGTACAATGAACTCTGCGTATTTCTCTTCAAATATAAATAAAATAACACAAACCATCAATGAAATGGTTCTTAGCCAGTGTCTTTAGTGCATCTGAGACTAATTGTGGACTCTAACTTAGTGTACTTGTGTAGATAACCGCGTTTAAACAGAAGGGCGTATACTTCAGTGTCTACCGACGTAGGGCGTGTATTTAAACAGATATCTCCCGAAAAATACTTACAAAGTGATAAATTATTGTTCAGTTGTGAGTCAGTGTGATGTTGGTAATTGGCTTATTCTCCGACGAAAAGTTGAAGGTAAGTAAGCTTAAAATTGTTGTTGAATTATAATAAACTAGCTTTCCGCCCGCGGCTTCGCCCGCGTGGAATTTTGTCTGTCACAGAAAAACTTTATCGCGCGCGTCCCTGTTTCAAAAACCGGGATAAAAACTATCCTATGTTCTTTCCCGGGACTCAAACTATCTCTATGCCAAATTTCATCAAAATCGGTTGCGAGGTTTAAGCGGGAAAGCGTAACAGACAGACAGACAGACAGAGTTACTTTCGCATTTATAATATTAGTTGGGATTATGCTGATAATCATGTCATAAATACAAAAAGAATACGGTACAAATAATAACTCATGTACCTACCGACATTACACTGAAAGATAACTTCAGCTAATGAATTTACAACATAATATAAAACTATTAAAACTCATTTCATTTTTGCAAGTAGGCTTTTAAAAAGCACTTTTACACGTCCCAGTATTGACCCTACCACTGGTTCCGGACAATAAATAAGCTAGTTTTGAGAAGAAGAATTCTTTATCAGCAAAATTAGCCTGAGTTGCACTGCCTTAACATTACAGTACATTATTAACATTGTAAAAGTGCTTTTCAAAAGCCTATTTGCAAAAATAAATAAGTTTTATAAGAGTTTTAACCCTAGATAGCTAACCTTCCGGCGTACCCTGTTTAAGCTAACCATCCGTCGAAACGACGGGTATTAAAAAAACATTATTTTTTGGACGAAGTAATTTAAAAAATCTAAGTCTTTTTTACAGTTTGGTTCCTTCATATATTTGTGAATAAATGTGCATTATTTAAATTCACCTTATTTATTTATTTATTAAATTAAAATATTTTTTCCTAGACCTCTATAGAAATTGGAACATTTTGTAAGTAACCACTTGGACATGCAATATCAATGAAAATTTTAAATAAAATAATCGGTTTTTTGACTTAATATGGTATGTAAAAACATTTAAAGTAATAAAATCATAAAATATTTTTTTTCTTTTTAGCGCAAGTGACACAAAAATCAACTTTATGTTTACCGCATATTTTGATATGATATAATGCTGATTTTTGTAATTTCCGAGGGATCAGTATTTGAAATAACTGACGAATCACGTTCCACGTCTGAAAACAAGTCTGGTGGTGGGTTTACTTAACTTTCCTCATAATTTGATGGTTAATAATTACGATTACTTTGCACATCATCTTCCACCATTCTTCGGTCTCACGGGCAGGACTAGCATCCAGGGCATCGTTAGTAACTTCTTATAGTAGTAGATTTATTATTTTATCGTTTTTTAATGAAAACAAGATGAAAATCTAAAAAATCTCAAATTTATTAATAAAATGTATGTGGGCACTCGAACTAAATTACTTACGGTAAAGCTAACCATCCGTCGAAACGACGGGCAAAGATCAAATATCCTAAAAACTATGAAACTTACCTGTCCACTGCCTACACCACTGCAAAGGACTCCCGGGCCTCTGAGTTGGCTAGTCAGGACAAAACGTTTGGACGTGGCATTAAAAAGTTACAACGTTATTTCTTTTCAATGCCCGTCGAATCGACGGAGGTTAGCTATCTAGGGTTAAGGAACCGTAACTATAAGTGCCTTTGACAGACTTTTGACTTAATGTAAGATCATGCAACCCAGGGTTAGACTATTTTTGTTTGAAAACAGTAATTTGTAAGCAGATTTTGAATTCTATTAAAAGTAATAATAAATTAAGATTATACCTTGCTTGGAACTCCATGTTACTACAGCAAAAGTATAAAACTGTCGCAGAGGTCAATAATAACAGTCTAATTGTTGCGGATTATTACAAATCGGAATGTTTTATAGGTGATTCCTTAACGGAAGACGGAGATGCAGCGTCGAAGCATGGAGGCGGGCAGCGAGGCTAGCTACTGTAAGTTTGTTAATTTTACTGCTCATTTAAAAACACTATGAAGTTTTTTAAATAAATACGAAGAAAATGGAAGAAAATTCTTCAATAAATTGTTTATTATGTTTGCTAGTAATATGCTATTAATTAAATGGCATATTGATTTACAGTTCTATACTTTTGCAGGCGAAAAGGACACCTGGGACGACTGGGGCAGCAGATCATCCCTTAGCCAAGTTGAAGAGGTAAATATTTGCATTAAGTTTAAATTGAAACAGTTATAAGCCTTTTTGACAGTGGCAGATCTGTGGTAGATGTAGATCTACGAGTAAGTAGTCACAAAAAATAAATTTAAAATTAACTTTTTAAAAAAATGACTTCAATGCGTGAACACAAAAAAAACTAAAAATTAAAAATATTGCGTATTAAAAAAGTTCATCCCCAATTTTCCACCCTTGGGGGTGAAATATTTTCTTCAAATTCGCATGAAACCACCCTTTTGATAATACCTATTCAACAAAAAAATAATCGTTCAAATTGATTTATAATCGGCGGAGATATTGCGTATAAAAAAGTTCATCCCCAATTTTCCACCCTTGGGGGTTGTTTTTTCTATTATTAAATTTAAATGGGACCACCCTTGAGGTATTACCTATACGCCGAAAAAAGATTTGTTCAAATCGGTTCATAATTGGCGGAGTTATCGCGTAACAAACATAGAAAAAAAAAAAACATACGGGTCGAATTGAGAACCTCCTCCTTTTTTGAAGTCGGTTGAAAATGCTGCATTAGTGCTCTTAGTGGTGTAAGGATCTGCGAGAGCATTACTGAGTTAACGCAAGAAAAATAGATAGTACCTGCTTATTTTTCTCAAAACAGGAAGTCTGAGCTGAGCTGTAAAAATAATAGGAAAGGGTTTGTCCACACACCCTGTATGTCAGTCTTTCCCAAAGTGGACTATAACCTCCCCTTGTGGCAGGCCTAAAGGGTAAGAGACCCGGAAAAAAATCGGGGCGTTTTGGTAGAGGCTTGTGGGGCGATTTGTAATTTCATCTATATGAGATCTCTTATGCCCGTTTTCACCATGAATCCCTAATTTTTAAGTGACCCCTATGTGAACCCTAACCCTATGTGAACAAAATTCGTGGTGTTACCTTAGGGGTCACTTAAAAATTAGGGATTGATGGATAAAACGGGCATTCGACACCTACTGAGCACTCGACTCTCGACTACAAATGGAAGCGCTAAAAAAGAATTTATTCTCAAAGTGGGCAGTAGACAATAAGTTTGGGAACCCCTGCTGTATGATAATCTTTTTGTTTTCGCCGCGCGTGCGCCGACAGGAAGCTATCTTTTCATCTCTCCCGCTGCGGTTATTTCCGATCGGCTGTGCAGCCGTGATGTCTTTGCTATTGGATGTTACGTCATAAGAAGTTAAGGACGGGTTGCAACAAGCGTTGATTGATGATCCCTAGTTAGGGTTTGTTCTTACGAACCCATCCCGTTTTTTTGCGGGCTCCCGTTTAGTAGTAGGTAATATGTGTTTTAATATTAACATCCCGTTTGCAGTGTCTCGCAAAAAACCGATCCATTCGAATTTGTAATTTGAATTTCAAAGACATTTTATAAGTGTTTCTGTGCGTTCATATGGTAGTCCAGTTTTGCGTAACCCTGCATTACTGGATCCTACCAAACTGGATTGCCGTGGGAACAAGCCTTTAGCTATGCAGATTGCAATGGATGCAACCAGGATGTTTTCCTGGGTGTTTCTATTTTGGCACAGTTTTCTTTAAATTATTTGCTAATATTTCTTATTCTAGTATTACAGTGGGCCACAGTTCCAGCTACCTATTTCCGTGTTTTCTTTCGCTTTCATCAAATGGTAATTCTTTGCGATAGAACGAGAGGACATGACCGGAAATGGGTAGCTAGAACTGTGGTCCACTGTGTCTGTCTGTCGTAATCATTTAGGAGATATTCTCAGGGCCGGATCTACTATATGGCTTTTCGGGCTTCAGCCCAGGACCCCGTGGATTCAAGGGGCCCCCAGCTAAGTCAAGTAAGCCAAGTCAAATGTCCCCTAAACTCACGTAAAACTGGTTTTTCGGCACTTGCTAGAGCTTTAGCTAGACTTCGGCCAGACATACAACCTTAACATAACAGTCAGTCGTCAGCCAAGATTGCGGCTTATTTTTGACCGGAGCTTTTTTGACCAAGCGTTGCAACGACATCGGAATCTGTTCCTCATTAAAGAAAACTACTACAGGAAGTGTTAAACTAGAATAAGTATAGGTTTAAAAACCGCTGAAGGCAGTTCTGTGATTAGACCGGTCTGGAAAACACTTGTTTTACCCGACTGCGCCAGAAGGAGGGTTATGTTTTTAGGTATCCACGAGCGACAAGCCAAGTTTTACACTAGCACCTTATGCAGTCGCAGTGGAGGCTATATTGCTACAAAAATGTGCAATCTGATGTGATTCTAAAGTTTAGTACTTGCACACAAACTTTAGATAGGTACTGCTCATAAAAACCTATCAGTTTTCTGAGAGCGACAACTGATAAAAATTTAATTGAATCAATAATATTGTTGAACTACACCATACTATAATCAATCATCAAGAATAAACCGAGTGTAATAACAATGTTCATAATTTTGAGAATACTCATTATAGAGCGGCGGATAGAGCCAGTGTATGTAATGAATATTATGAATTAATTATTGTTTTCATTTGGAGACCGTTAAAACATGCACCTGTACGAAGCTCGGCCTGAGGCACGCACGGGACAGTAAAGGGGGCGTCCATTAATTACGTGAGACAATTTTGGCTATTTTTCAAATTGGTGAGATTTGATGAGATTTTGCCTGACCCCCCACCCCCTAATCTCACGTCTCCTAATATTTCCCCCCTAGTCTCCCCTAATATTTAAAAAAATGTAATAGTTCTCGAGTAATTTAACTGAGAAAGATTTTTTTCTGTGAGCTTAGTGCGAGTTGTGGTGCGAGGTTGCTTTATAATTGTCATAATTTCGTCATTTATTATGCATTTTAGTGTTCACAAATGCAGACGCATTTTTAGATGGTATAGAATAAAATTTAATTATCATTCTAAGATGTTTTTTATCATCATTTTTTTTACTGAAGATAATCCAGTTTTCTGGCAATTTTACTCTATTTCTTGCGGAAAAAATTACGTGATATTTCCCGAGACCCCCCGCTCCCCCACGTGAGATTTAGTGAGGTTTTTCTTGACCTTGATAGTTTAGTCGGGCAGTTGATTAGTATGGGCATGTATGGAAGTGCGCACATTACACCGATTTGATTTGGCCGATTCTTCTTACAAATTAAAATCGGGCCCAACTATCGGCCAACTAAAAATCGGTGGTCTGCGCCTAGTCTTAGTTCTTAGACCTAGGTCCCAAAGCTGAGAGAAGATACATTTATCTATCTACATACTAGCTATCCGCCCGCGGCTTCGCCCGCGTGAAATATGTTTGTCACAGAAAAACTTATCGCGCGCGTCCCTGTTTCAAAAACCGGGATAAAAAATTATCTATGTCATTTCCCGGGACTCAAACATAATAATATCTCTATGCCAAATTTCATCAAAATCGGTTCAGTGGTTTAGGCGTGAAAGCGACAGAGACAGTCAGAGTTCTGTGCAGAATTACCTACTAAACTTTCGCATTTATAATATTCTCAGATGAGATAATATTAGGTAGTAGGATTTTTTCTAAAAGTTAATGAATACCTGTATTATCATGACATTTTGGTTCTGCAAATAAACTTATTTGATTTGATTTGATGAATTTTGTCGTCTATCTATCCCAAATATCAAATCAAATAAAAAAATGACTTTAGTTATATGTATTTGTCTGAACTTGTCAACTCTTAAATACCGTGTATGCCTGCGCATCCCCCAATTTATTTACATAAAAACTGTAACTCTGTCCTAGTTCCGAATCACGCCATCTTAATGGCTGCGGGAATCGAACCCGCTGACGCAAGCGACTGCACCAACGCACTGGGCACATATCCAATTGTTCTTGTTCAAGTTCATGTAACCTACTTAAATTGTACGAAAGTTCGATACACTATTCCTAATAATGATCGAAAAGCACAGAATAAATAACCCTACAAGTCTATTTGTGCGCCACAAGCAAACTGGGATTTTAATAACCCATCCGTCACCAGTGGCAACGTAACCAATGTTGACGACTGGGAAGTGGGAATAAACGAACTTTTCTAGCAAAACAAAAGTAATTATAAATTCCCATATGTATGTGACTATGTGATGCAAAAGCACAGAATAAGTAATAGTGCAAAAGTAAAGATCCGGCAGAGCTCTGCCCGACCTTTCAAACCAATTTTCGAAAATGTTTAAATATTTAAAACCAAATGAAATTCATTTATTTTTCAAGTATGTACCAGCTTGTAAAAAACTCCTTTACACTTCCTAGTATGTATTAGTAACTTACCTATTACTTTCCCACCAATACTCGCATGCAGAAGCTTTGACTCAATGCCATAAAAGATACAACGCCTAATAGAATGGAATTCTCTCTCAGTCAACCTTTACGCTAAACAGAAATTAGATTCATTCAACCTTATGCATTATTTCAACAAACTTGTTCAAAAATTCAAAATTACGCAAAATTAAACTCTACTGCCTTTGCATTAAGACTTGAGCCCTTCAGTGTAAACAGAAAAGGTAAACGACGACCTATAAATAATGTAATATTATTTGTTAACCTATTGCTTAATAATTAATCTTGTTTCGTGTAGGCAGCCCTTAACCTCTCCTGCGGTACCATAAGTAGTTTCACGCGATTTCGAATTCGCATCACGTACAAAAAACATGCTGTCCCACTCTAACTAATGTAGTCAGAGCGAGATGCAATGTTGTGATCGGGTGAGACGTATCCGTCACATGTGGTACCGCTGTTGTTGTTCTTTGACAGCTGGAGAATGTTGCCGTCTAAGGAATTTACCCTGATATATGGGACATGTCGTAACTCGTTGAAATATTATCGTAATATTTAATGAAAAAAAAACCTCTTTTTATAATTTATTTTTGATCCTTATATTTTTTTAAAATATTTTAAAAAGGTTATTTACCGAAATACAAAAAGTGGTCATATTAGTTCCGAAGAAAACAATAGCCTTTATATTTTAGTATTTTGATCAAACTTAGTTTAAGTCAAGGTTTCAGTCCACATTAACAACTTAAAACAATGTTTAAAAAATATTGTCTCTG